CAGTCCAAATTGAGGGAGAGCGGTGGAGCCGTAACATAGGGAGGAAAAGCTCAACGCTTTCCCTCGTCTTCTCTCTCTTTTTTTTTTTTTTTTTTTTTTTTGGGCTTTTTAAGTGGAGGTCTCCATTAATTTTAAATTGCAGTCTTCGTGAGATGTCGGCCAGAAATTAAAAGACGGGGTCCGTTGCGGGGAAATGGCGACGGTGACGCTCTCCTGGCGGTCTGTCTCTGTCGCACCCCTCCGGAACGCCAGCCCGCCGCGTGAGTGCGAGAGAGTCAGAACGACCCCGGACTCTCTGGACCGACTGCGGCCCTCCCTGCATATCGGGGGGCCAAACTTCAAAAGATCTAGTCGGGCGCCCCCGAAGAAATCTTACTAACGCATGTGAATTTTACATAGTTGTCATTGAGAGAGCTACATATCAATCTAAGGGAGTGATCGCGTGAATCTACAGATGGGCGAGGAGGAAAAAATCCACTGAAAAGTTTGGGCGTTTTGGGATGGAGGGTGTTTTAAAAAGACGAAAAAGAAGGGGAGCGGGCGCAGCGGGCGCCAGCGAGCCGGAGCCCCACACGTCAACACACCCAAAAATTCCCCTGCGCAGGGGGGGAGACAGATTGGGCGTGGGTGGGGAGAGGAGGCCGGACCGGCCCCTCATGCGGGCGTGCGGCAGGACGGCCACGGCTGGGCTGGCGGTAGTCACTGACTACCAGTCAGCGCGGCAGCGGGGCGGCAGCCCAACCCACCAGTGGAGTGGCCAATTGAATAAAGAATAAAGAAAGCGGCCCGGCCGCGACGTTAACGGCGAGTGGACGACTGGACGTGCTCGCTGCGGAGCTGCGGTGCTGCGGACGGGGAGCACTATGAACGTCGGGCTGCGAGCCGCGCTGCCAGCGTAGCGGAAGCAGTAACTGATTCCCAGAGCGGCAAGCGAGCACTCTGGCCGGGCCTGAGTGCACACTCGAGTGCAGCAGGACGGTCCCGAACAGCGCCCACGTCGCGTGCGTCTCGCTCCCACCTTTCAGGCCCATGAGTGCGATAGAGACAGAGGACAGAGCGACAACCGTGGCGTCCGCACGCGCGCTGTGGTGCGGGTGACGACGCCAGGGCTCTGGACTCGCCTCGCCAGGACTCCCGGGTGCGGCGGCAGAGCGGCGGCAGAGCGGCGAACATAACACAAAACTGGCGTCGCAGCCAGCCAGGCCGCAGCAGCGAGGAAGAGGAGAGGGGGCGGAGAGGCCTAATTGATTTACAGAGCGACGCGAGATAAGTTTGGGAGCAAGTGCCGCCTCGATCAGACGTGTGGCTGCTAAATCAGCCCCAACACGATTTTCACAGACATTTCTGAGTTTGTGTTTCTGATGCCTCAATTTTCTGATGACTTTAGTTCTGATAACATCGGCTGGACTCATAAAGAAATATATCAGAATAATCATTTTCTTTTGTAAATATATTTTTTGATCTACATGAGACTCGGAAACGGGGAAAACGTCTTCAGGGGGTCGAAACCGAGTCCGATCCAAATCTGCAGTCCAAATTGAGCTAGCTCGCCATCAACTCTCAAAAAGACAGTAAATGTGATCCGATCTCATTGAGATAAAAACTGGCCTAGCCAATCTTGAAAAACAAGACCTCCCCAAAATTTGAAATTGAAATAATTAAACTTTCTTTTTTAAGGGATCTCTTTTTTTTGAACATCAGACATCAGAAACATTTCTGACGATTATATTTCTGATAACTAGCAGTTATCAGAAATCAGATCGACTTATCAGAAAGGCCTCTTTTTCTGATGTCTCTATTCTGATAACCTATGGAAGTATCAGAAAAAAAACATTTCTGATGACCTCTTTCTGATAAATCATAGATGTTATCAGAAAATACTCGAAATCTGATGTTTTTTTGTCAAGTTATCAGAAAATCCACCGTTTATCAGAAAATTTCTGAGTTGATTTACACCAGTGCACTTGGTTGTCGTTTGAACGCGTGTGAATTTGTCGTTTTTTTATACCTTGAAGTGGTCCGTTTTACCTTTTAAAAAAACACAAAACGACGGTGATCCAAAGGCCAGCGAGCGAAAAGAGAAGAGCCCCTGCTGAGAGTTGAACCGAGGCTCTGCACACTGATGCGTCTCTGGGAAAATGCTGTGCAGCTCCAAGCCACTCGGCCAAAGCGACTTGTGGATGTCGGGGAGCATCGACGCGAACTGCTACGGCTCGCGCTTCCCGCCTAAGCATGTTCTCGCAGCGAATCTGTCAGAGTCTGCACTTCAAGCTAAATGGGATTTGAATCAGTTGGCGTTAAAACTCAATCCAGCAGAAGAAAAGTGACCACTCTAGCACGATTTTGGGCCCAAAGTTTTAACTGACCCAGTCTCAGTGAAAAGCTCATTCGCTGCGGGAAGCGCGAGCCGTAGCAGTTCGCGTCGATGCCCCCCGACATCCTCAAGTCGCTTTGGCCGAGTGGCTTGGAGGTACAACACTTTTTCCAGAGACACATCAGTGTCCAAGAGCCTCGGTTCAACTCTCAGCAGGTGCTCTTCCTTTCGCTCGCTGGGCCCTTTTGGGTCACCGTCGTTTTGTCGTTTTTTAAATGGAAAAGGACCACTTCAAGGTATAAAAAAACGACAAATTCACACGCGTTCAAACGACAACCCAAATGCCGGCTTTTTTGTCGTTATTTTATCGTAAAACCGGTCGTAGATTTGTCGTTTTTTTTACCCTTTTTTTCTCGTTTTTCACCGTGCAAATAACGACAAACGCACTACTTATTTACAGCCTTGGTTCCCACGGGCAGTAGCTCCGCCTCCTTGTGTCTGTCCATGAGCAGGCAGCGCGTCAGGCCAGCGCTGGGGCCCGGGGCGTCCGGCAGTAATCCCTGGGCGGGGCGCTCGCGGCAGCCCCCTTAAACCTCGCTGTCGGCCGAGTTGGCGCTGGCCGGGGCATGCAGTGTACACCTGCGTGCGCGGGGCCGCGGCCGGGATTGCTCGCATTGCCTCGCACTGCTCGGATCCACGACGATACTCATTTCATGTTTTAGAGTGCTGGCGGCCGGGTTTCCCGCCCTGCCCGCCCCCTCACTCCTCCCTCGGCCCTTTCGCCCGGGGAGGGGATGTTTGGGCATGGGGACCCAGTCCAAATTGAGGGAGAGCGGTGGAGCCGTAACATAGGGAGGAGAAGCTCAACGCTTTCCCCCGTCTCTCTCTTTTTTTTTTTTTTTTTTTTTTTGGCTTTTTAAGTGGAGGTCTCCATTAATTTTAAATTGCAGTCTTCGTGAGATGTCGGCCAGAAATTAAAAGACGGGGTCCGTTGCGGGGAAATGGCGACGGTGACGCTCTCCTGCAGGAGAGCCATGGCGGTCTGTCTCTGTCGCACCCCTCCGGAACGCCAGCCCGCCGCGTGAGTGCGAGAGAGTCAGAATGACCCCGGACTCTCTGGACCGACTGCGGCCCTCCCTGCATATCTCTGGGGCGAGGCGGCGAAACCGCAAGCAGAGGCAGCCAGGCAGCCAGCCAGCCAGCCAGGCAGCCAGCCAGGCAGCCAGCCAGCCAGCCAGGCAGGCCCAAAAAGTGGGACGTGACCAACATTGTCAATTCCGCCAGGCCGCGCGCCGCGCGCCGCGCACGCCCCGCTGAGCGTAAAAATATCCCCCTGAAACAGGGGGCGGGGATGGAGGGTTTAAAAAGAGAGAGAGGAGGCCGTCGTACGGCGACCCACATGTCAACACACCATTCATGCGAGCAGACAGATTGCGTGTGCGAAGGACGGCCGGACGGCTGGGCTGGCCAGGCTAGTCACTGACTACCAGTCAGCGCGGCAGCGGGGCGGCAGCCCAACCCACCAGTGGAGTGGCCAATTGAATAAAGAATAAAGAAGAAAGAAAGCGGCCCGGCCGCGACGTTAACGGCGAGTGGACGACTGGACGTGCTCGCTGCGGAGCTGCGGTGCTGCGGACGGGGAGCACTATGAACGTCGGGCTGCGAGCCGCGCTGCGAGCCGCGCTGCCAGCGTAGCGGAAGCAGTAACTGATTCCCAGAGCGGCAAGCGAGCACTCTGGCCGGGCCTGAGTGCACACTCGAGTGCAGCAGGACGGTCCCGAACAGCGCCCACGTCGCGTGCGTCTCGCTCCCACCTTTCAGGCCCATGAGTGCGATAGAGACAGAGGACAGAGCGACAACCGTGGCGTCCGCACGCGCGCTGTGGTGCGGGTGACGACGCCAGGGCTCTGGACTCGCCTCGCCAGGACTCCCGGGTGCGGCGGCAGAGCGGCGGCAGAGCGGCGAACATAACACAAAACTGGCGTCGCAGCCAGCCAGGCCGCAGCAGCGAGGAAGGAGGAGAGGGGGCGGAGAGGCCTAATTGATTTACAGAGCGACGCGAGATAAGTTTGTCTTGAAGCGGTGCGCGGCGGGCAAGGCGGCCTGAGCGGAGCGCCGGCCTCGGCAGCGACACGGCGACGAAGCCCTCCACCAGGGCGGGCAGCGCAGCACCGCGCAGCACCGCGCAGCACCGCCTCGGGCATGCAGCCCTTCGCTGGCCCCAGCCCGTCAGCTACAGCACGGTGCAGCGCCCTTTGTGGTCACGAAACGCCCGTTCCAGGCGTGTTCCAGGCCGTTCCAGGCTGTGCCAGGCGTGTTCCAGGCCGTTCCAGGCTGTGCCAGGCGTGTTCCAGGCCGTTTCAGTCAGTTCCAGGCCTTTTCAGGCCGTTCCAGGCGTGTTTCTGGCCGTTCCAGGCTTTCCCTCTCAGGCCGGCCTCTCATTCAGCGCGAAACAAAGCCCGCGGGCTGCCTGCTGGGGCTGGCCGGCTGGGCTGGCCGGCCGGTGGCTGCCTGCTCGGTCGGCCCGGTAATCGACTGTTGGGCCGTCGCCCTCAATTTTGCCGGATCGCGGGCTAAAGAGAGAGGCCAGAGTAATAAAGCGAAATAAATGATGGGCAGGTGGTGGAGGCGGCTCCTTTGTTGTTGTTGTTTTTGTTCCTCACACACGTGTTGTTGTTTGTTCCAGGCGACGACGGCAACTCCGGCATCATCGAGGTGGTGGCCACGGTCGCCTCCCTGGTGCTGCTGGTCATCACGCTGCCTTTCTCCCTGCTGTTCACCTTCAAGGTAGATCTTGCATCCTTTCAGTTAACATCTTTTCCTCCGCCTGGCCATACAGTATCTGCTTGGATACCACGGTAGCCGCTTGGTCCTCGGAATGGTGAAAACGAAAACATCCCGGTTCTGAGTATCAAGTTCTGGCTGTACCTATGCTAATGGATTGCTTCAAGATTTTTCTCTGCCGTCGGTGACGTGCGCGGTAGCGGTGTGATTCCAGGGAGGTCACTGGACTGCAGAGCTGGTCTCCAGGGGCCCTCTATCAAATTAAAATAATGTTCCGCGTCGTGTGGTTCATAGCCCAGCTTCAGCCTTGCCTTTGAACACACATCAAAGGGAAACGCAAAGCAGTACCAACCTTTTTTTTTCAATCACTTTTTTTCTGTAGGTGGTGCAGGAGTTTGAGCGCGCCGTCATCTTCAGGCTGGGCCGCCTGAGGTCGGGCGGCGCGCGCGGGCCCGGCGTGTTCTTCGTGCTGCCCTGCATCGACACGTACTGCAAGGTGGACCTGCGCACCGTGAGCTTCGATGTGCCGCCGCAAGAGGTAACTACACCGCCAAACTGGCCAAACCGAACGGAGACAAAACGTCCATTTTACTTTGTTCTCGCCATGTCGCGGTCTCTCTTCCGACGCGTCTCATCCACTGCCCGCCTTGACATTTAACAACGGGCTGGGATATTTGAAAAAAAAAAGTGGAAGTGAGCCTCCGACTTGTGAAACAGGTTTTGTCGCGAGACTCTGTGACGGTGCACGTGGATGCCGTGGTTTTCTACCGAGTGGACTGCCCCATCCTAGCGACCAACAACGTGCATGACTACAGGTACCCTGTGGCGCCTGTGGCGCCTGTGGCCTGCCAAACTCTTTCGTTTTCCCGCCGTATTTGAATTGCCTTTCTATGGTAGGTTATAAGCACGGCACTGCAGCATGGGCCTGGGCCTCGGCCTGGGCCGCCTGGACTCCTCGGCCGTCTTTTAGGACAGCGACCGCGCCGAACGGGCCGAACCTAAAGCCATGGCTCCGTCCCGTCCGACATTCTCCGCGTCTTTGACGTTGTTCATTTTGTAAACACCCCTGTTGTCCCTTTGGAAAGAAACCGCCTGCACTGGTAAAACTGAAGCTTAGTATTACCCTCTGTTCTCAGCGTCTTACCTTTTTGGAATCGAGCGTAACACGCTCATCCGCTCAGATACCCCTATGCATGGGGAAATGGTAGTCTAACTTTATGCACGCTTAAAACCTTACGAAATATTTTGAGTACCTGTAAGGTAAACTAATTCACTTTGCTACGCTTTAGTTTTACCAGTGTTTCACTGTACTCTAGTCTCGGGGATTTCTTCGAGTAAACTCGAACTCCCGCATGCTCCGGCCTGTTTGCTGGCGATTTGTTGAGTTCTTATTGGACCCTCCCCTCCCCTACCCCTTTGCCCCACCATTCCTGCCGCCACTCTGAAAAACCAAAGTTGCGGCAGTGTAGCCTCCTCTTCCCCGAGTGGCTCGTGTTGGGGCGTGCTTGTGATCCATGTGATATACCTACCTGTGTTGTGCGGCAGCCCCGCGCGGCCGCGGGCTGGGCTGGGCCAAAGGACCAGGAGAGCCAGAGAGTCGAGTAGCGGCGTAGGCGTCTTCCTCTTGCTGTGTTTGTAGTGAAGCTCCGTGCTGTGTGGCAGGTGCTTACCAAGGACTCCGTCACTGTCAGTGTGGATGCGGTAATCTATTATTACATCAAGGAACCTCTGAATGCCGTCGTTAGAGTCAGCAACTACAGGTAAACTTACAACGCGCTCGCTGTAATTGCCCCAAAGGCGTGTGCGTATGTTGTTTCTCTCTAAGTGTGTATGAGTGAGTGAATGAGTGCGTGCGTGACCCAAATTTTTCGTCTCAAGGGCAATTTTTTAAAAATGATTTTTAAAATGACTGTGTACAAGGATACACTATTGAACGGACGGGAAGCTTGTTTGATTTTACATTTGAAACGCACAATGTAGCGAAAATGGGCGGCAGACGCGTTCATTCTGGAAATGACTCGCTCGCATGTACTCAAAACCTTGACGAACCTCGTCAACCTCCCCACGAGACAACGTATACCTTCTTGCCAACACTGTCGCAGCATGTGCCTTCCTTTCGTGGCTGCAGCTCAAGTAAAAAAGCCCCTAAGTCGCAAGGAAACGGACAAATCACCGTCGACTCGAGTTTCCCTTGCGGGGCCTGCAAAATCTGCTTTGGCTTTCCGACATTCTGTTTTAGCGTCGCTTCTTTGGCATTCGGGCGTTATAAATCGTTTCGTATGAAAATCCTAAACACCAACATGACAAAATAAATTGCAAAGGACCAACGTATGCTTGTTTAAATCCGAGGTGTGCCATTGGGCATTGCATAAAGAGGGCTTTCCCTTAAACTTTCCGAACGGAAATACGAGAACCTGTAGTTGTATCAAGTCGGTTGTTGACAGAATGCACGCATTCGACGGATTCCTTGGTCAGCCCTGCCATGACTTCTCTTCTGTAGTCGCACTGTAAACCTTTTCAGCATGAAACCTTTCCCACAGGATTCGACTCTCCACTATCTCGGACTTCCACTCTTGCACGTTTTCTTGTTTTTCTTCATTCTCCGTAGACTCGTAGACGCTTTGCCGCACGCATGACCACCAACCCCAGCGGCTGCCTGGCATCTTTGTTATCACGTATTTGGCATGCGTTTTGAAAAGGAACTCTTGTACATATGTCGGAACTCACACTATCTTTCTCTAGGAGGCCTCCATGGATCAACCGCCACAGGGAGGGAGTCCTTCCGAGTCCCTCGGGAACTCCCTCAGGGACTCCTTGATAGGGAGTCTCTCAGGGAGTCCCTCAGGGCGGCCAGCAACACCGCGAAGCGCGAAGCGCGAACCTCGCGGCATCCCAATGCTTCGCTGTGCTCCGCAGTCCCGCCGACAGACGGCGCCCGGGTCTGCCTGCCTGTCGGCCGGACTGCGCCCACACTGCGTGACACTGCGTGACACTGCGTGACACTGCGTGGCGCGGCGGCGGGATGCTGCAGGGTCCGCGCGGCAAGCACCACAAGGGGCCTCCGCGCCACGCGCCTTTCCCTTCTCGGCGGGGGTCAAAAACAAGTGGCCTGGAAAAGGGCGCGTGGAGTGTGGACGGTGTGACGGTGTGGACCGCGGGCAGCCCAACCTGTTACGCCACAACAGGCAGCCAGGCCAGGCCAGGCCCTGCAGGGGCGGCCGGGGGCGCAGCGTCCGCGCAACGTCCGCGGCAGGCGAGCGGAAGGGACGGGCTGGCAGGGCAAGATGCCTGGCCGGACTGCCCGGACAGCCACGACGGGGGCGTCCGTAAACTAAGAAACGAAAAAGAAAAAAAATAAACTCTCTTCGGTTGGACGGGACCAAACGCCTCGCCGAGTGCGAGAAAACACAAAAAGCATTTTTTACAGCCAGTTTATGGACGGTCCCTCGGTCCCGGCAGGAGGGCCGGGCAATGCCGCTCAAAAAGTGGAAGGCTGCCTGCGCGGCGCCTTCGCGGGCGGGGTTTTGCTTCGATCGCGTACAATTCTGTCGCACACACTTTACCGGATGAGAACGCTACGTGAGTGCCTGCACGGCGCGGGTACGCCCGTGCCCCGAGGGGCTTGGCCCAGGACCGTGAGTCACAGAGTGTGTGGCACAGAGTTGTACGCGCTACGCAGGCTACGCACTGCCAGCAAGTTCCGCCTAGTTCCGCCCCTCCCTGCCACTCACCGCCTCACTCGGCCTCAGACTGTCTCAGACTGCGGCGCCCCCTTCCCGCTCCCCCTCCACCTCGCTGGTGGACTGTGGCTGTGCATCAGGAGGCGTTCCGTCCCTCGGGAGGTGTCCTGGAAGTATCCTGGAAGTATTCTGGGAGCATCCTGGAAGTAGAGCGCTGAGGGGGTCATTTTCTTGCTCCGCTTGTATGACACCCCTAGCCGTCCATGTACATACCCACGTAGACTTTCAATCACTTCGTTTTCTCTTTCTTCATTCTTGATATTTTTAGTGCGTTCAGAAAAACTCAGTTCTGGCCCTGACTGTGAGCGCTGGAGCCCCGCGCTTTGGCTCGGCCAAATTGGCCGGGAACCAATAAGGGACGTCCCTGCAGCGCCGGAGCGCTGGGGAGCCAAGCCGGGCCAGGACCGCCAGGACTCCGTTTTCCTGATCGTGTAAAACCTTGATTAGACGCGGCGTCTCGGGGCCTTGCCGGCCTTACCGTTTCAGTCGCATTCGCCTCCACTTTTGCAAACCCGAGTTTTCCATTATTCATTCATATTACTTCTCTTTCCCGTTCCTCGTGACCGACCAATTTATTGCAAAGTTTGCTGGTTAGGGGCGGATGGCGAATGGAAGTCCGCCCGGGGGAGAGGGGCCGGCGTGGTCGTGGTCCCAGCCGTGGCCCCGGCCCTCCCCGCCGCCGACACGCTGAGTCACCGAGTCGAGGCGAAGGCGAAGGCGGAAACGGTTCGGTCGTGTCGCGCCGCGAGGCCGCGTGGCCGCCGTCCCGGGCCCCGAGGTAAAAATGCCTGTTGGTACGCAGCCACTCCACCCGCCTGTTGGCGGCCACCACCCTCCGCAACGTGCTGGGTACGCGCAACCTGTCCGAGATCCTGTCTGAGCGGGAGGCTATCTCCCACAACATGCAGTCCAGCCTGGACGAGGCCACCGACCCCTGGGGCGTCAAGGTGGAACGAGTCGAAATGTAAGTCCGGCGCGCAACCGAATTGCAGTCGCTTCCATTTTGCTTTTTTGACAGTGATGCTCCCAGATCGTGGGGTCGGGGGGCCGCGGCCAGTAGGGGGCTGCGGCCCCGTGGAGCTAGCTTAGCTTTGGGGGGTGGGAGCACTGGGCTGCACTGGGCACAATGAGACTAGTACACTGGTGCGTCCGCGGCGTCCGCGCTGAGAGCCTTGTTGGTGACGTCGCAGTAAGGACGTCCGGCTGCCGGTGCAGCTGCAGCGCGCCATGGCGGCCGAGGCCGAGGCCGCCAGGGAGGCCCGCGCCAAGGTCATCGCCGCCGAGGGGGAGATGAAGGCCTCCAGGGCCCTCAAGGAGGCCTCGGACATCATCTCGGAGAGCCCGTCTGCTCTGCAGGTACGCACCGCTCTTTCGCTTTTGTGTTGGACAAGTGTCCCTCCCTCCCATGCCCCTGTTACAGCCCCTTCCCTGCGCCCCCGGTCTTGCCTCTCAAGTTCAAGTGGCGTGGCCCGGCCTGTAGCGCCTGTGATGGGCAGGGTAGGCCAGCCCGCCACGGCGCCGAGCGCAGCGGGTGGCCTATCCCTCCGTTGGCAGGCGCTAGCGGCCGCAGGCACCGCAGGCACCGCAGGCTGGCCCCGACCGACTCCTGACCCTGCTCGTGTTCCGTCCCGTTCCAGCTGCGCTACCTCCAGACGCTCAACACGATCTCGGCCGAGAAGAATTCGACCATCATCTTCCCGCTGCCGCTGGACATCATCTCGCCCTTCCTGAAGGGCTTCGCCGGGCCAGCGCGTTCCGAGTAACAGCAATAGTGGGGCCGCCAGGACGTCGCCCAGGACGTCGCCCAGGACGTCGCCCAGGCCTACGCGCGTCATCGCGGCGGAGTAGGACGACAGCGTGTCGTCGCCGAGTCGCCATCGCGGGGGAGCAAGGAACAAGGCCATGCAGGCCGTGGTCATGCGGCCGAGTCATTGATCGGCGTGCTCATGAGCACGGCACACGGCACAGCCATTGCGGCCGGGCCGGTGAGCATCCCCCTAGGACCACACAGTGACCGAAAGGGATTGGAGAAACGGGAACTGGAAGTACCATTGTTACTGTAGTCTGCAGATTTATCGGTTGAGTTTTGAAAATTTATTCATAATAATATAAATGTGTTGGTGGTTTTCCACGGCTTTATTGCACTGCACATTTTTGCAATTCTCTAGTCATGCTGTGAAAGTTGCTCATGTTCTCTCAGTGTTTAAAACGTTCTCTGTTTTCTCCCTCTTTACAAATGTATGATCTCTCTCCATAAGTTAATTTAGTTTATTTGAACAAAACCGCCAGAAGCTTAAGACTGTGTTATAATTCATACATACATTGTTTTGATTGCTGAAACTTATATGGACTGATCAACCCAAATGTAAAATAGGTTTTGTGATTTTATTTGCTAGCACAATTTGTTCCGGTGTAGGGTTTACTTACTTTCAAACTACTTGTGGATATTGGTCCTAATGTTACCAATGGTTCCCCTTTTGACCGAGATTCACAATGTCAAAGTTGCGACATTTTAATGACAGTTATAAATAATTCCTATGATCCAAGCACGTCATTGTCAGACACTTGCAGAGATAGTAATCAGAAGAGAACTTTTTTAACTTTTCTTTATTATCTGCATAGTTGTTAAATATTAGGTAAATAATAAATCTGAAAACCTCACTTCAATTATGCACCAAGAAAAATTGAGCTTTTTGGTTTAGGAACCTAATGCATCAATATTTAAGTGAAAATTTACTTCTTAAATGGAGTGCATAGTTTCCAAAGCCACAATTTTAACATTACATTGACGGTGCGGGGAACAACTAGTGTTTTATAACTTTTGTAAAGTGTGTTTGTTCGTTTGTTGTTGGTATTGTTTTAATTATATAGGACATAAAAAGGATACCAAACCTTGACAATTATTAGAAATTCAATAAATATTTATTTCTGTTTTTTTTTTCCAAAACACTGACACATGTAAACAGAAGTGCAGACAAGCATAACATGTGAAATCTACTCCAAAATAGAATAATACAATGGAATATGTGAAGTTGGTGTGTGATGTTTTAGTAATACAGGCTTTGATAATTTTTTCAATTTTGAAGGTAATTTTCTCATTTGCATGTTTAAATTATTCTCAAATTGTTGTTACAAGTTACCTAGTTAAATACAAGTCATGAAAGGCTGAGCCTCTATGACAAAAGAAAAGCTGAGTGGTGCTGTAAATAGTGATTGTTACACATACATGAATAAATGCACTCTCAAGATTTCTTGCACTGTATATCAACTTTTACATCTTTCCAAAAACTATGTTTAAATCTTTGGAAGTCACATAATAATATAACTTTAGTGGACAAAATTATCATGCAGCACAAATGACAAGTGGTTAATTAAAATTAGCGGAATAGGTATACCGAAACAAATGAACGGCCCAGTCAAGTCAGTGAATTTACTTATTAACCAAAAACAACTGTGTTCATCGACCCAATAGTTAAGGTGCCACTCACTGAAAACAAACCCTTGTGCGCTAAGGAACAGTTTTATAAAAACATGTCATATTGTACATCCCTATACACTTATGTTAATAATAAAGTATAATAATAACAACAACAGTAGTTCACCTTAACTTTGAATCAACCCTACATATTCAAGGACATAATACTGGAAGACATAAATTCATAAAATGATTGCTTATCAAGAAGTGCTTGTTAAAATATGAGATGCAAAATCATGGACAAAAAAAGCCTCTCAATAGAAAGGAATGAGACATGACAGACACTCAACATAATATTGAGATTCTACTTTCTCCTCCTAATAAAAAGGAAAACTTATGGGAAGCGTTGGGCTGTAAAAGTAACTAAATGCAAGACACTTTAGGATACAATTCATAGAAAATACACAGTAGTCTCTTATGGACGGAAAAGGACGGATGTGTAATACACGGTAAGTAATTAGTTGCCCATAAAGATGCCCATATATGTGCAATATGCAAGTTATATTTATCACAGCAAGATATGTGACATATCACAAGGAGATCTACTCAAAGACGAACAAAAATCTTATACATTGCAACTGCAAACAAAAAAAAACACAACACATTAATATCAAACAGATGAGGATTATGACTAGTTGTGAGGACTACTCTGTATCTAGGAGAGTATCCACTCCAAATGGTAAAGGAATAGCCTCTCCATGGCCACCTCCATCCTTCAAATCCAAACCTCTCCACACATTCTTCTTGTTTTTCAAACCAACTTTAATCAGATCTTCATTTATTTTTGCCTTCCATGCTTCGATATACTGCTTTGAAGAAACATTTTCCATTGATGTATATCCTCTGCTTCTCATAAAGTCTTGCCAAACCTAACATGGGACAGAATAAGAAAGATCTGTTAGCTTGCCAGTAGCATCTACGAACCAGTCAAATTTATTTCTTGGAAGGTAAGATACACACCTGCTCAGGAGGATAAGGAGTTGGTGCTGGGCGATTGCCATGTTGTCCTTGTGTGAAGACATGCAAATGGTTAACAATGTAGTCATACATATACATCTTATCAGCTTCAATTCCTTGAAAGGTAACTGATAAGTCACTGCAACATTCTTTTCCCTGGAAATTTATTTGCATGGATATTAATTGACTCTGCATGCTGTGAGAACATGAATGAAGACCATGCAGTTACAGTACCTCAGTTGAAGGGTAAATGCTGTTTTTCCAGTATGAGGCAATGAGTGCCAGCTTGTTTGAAAAAAGAAGTTGGTTCAGGTTGTAACCATGAAATCGTCCTTTACCAGATTCATCACGTGTATCACTTGGAAGGACACATAATGCTTCTAAATTTCTTCCTGAAAAAACAAAATTAAAAAAACAAAACAATGTAATTTTAATACAATATAGAAAAAAACTCAAATAAAATACAAACTTGAATTTTTTTAGTACCCAGGTAGTAATCTTCTTTTTTCCAGTATTTGCCACCGGATGAGCAGGTCTCAAGTGATGAAAAGTTTCCAGCAAGAAGTCTGACAGTACCTTTACTCAAAACGTACCCCGCTAAAGCTACGTTGAATGGTTGACCCCACAATGTTTGAGCATGCCCTAAGTAATAGGGATCGTCTGAATCAACATGTGCCACCATTCTTCTTAAGTTTTCAGGAACGACAAACATATCATCTGACACGAATAACAACCATTGCAGCTGGGTTCCTTTAGATTTCCACAAATTAAGTATTATCTTGCATAAAAAGTCCCATGAACTTGCAACTTCTATGATTTGAACTTTAAGCTCTGCTGAAAATTCTTTCAAACGGAGATCCTGGGGTCTCTTAGCATGGTAAAGTTCATAATCGTTACAATGCTTCAACCAAGTATGAGATGCAGCTATTGCATTCTTTTCCCGCTCGACAAATACAACACATGTGATGTGAACCTTATTTTTCAGCATTTCTGCTTCTAAGATGGCTTGTTTTCTCCCTTTTCCATACAAAAAGTCATCGATGTCTAAGGAATTTCGAACAGCTCCTTGGTTAGCCAGCCAGGATTTATAGTTCCCCTCCACCAGGCCCTTCTTCTCAGGTGGATGATTACAGGTGGACTGACGTTTTGCGTGTGATGATGATGGTAAAGGATCCTCGCTAGGACTCAGTATGATTATGCCAAGAATAAATCCAATAGCAAATCCCACAAACAGGACGGCGATGGGTTTGCGAGCTGACATCATGTTAAATGGTTGAGTTCTTGAATATATAATCACGTTTGGCTCACAACACAGGTCAGGTAAGAACACGCGTCTGAGGACCACATAGTCCTCCTAAAATTACTAATTGTTTTTGCACGAAACAAGAGAGGTAGTCGGCTGCCACCTGTTGATGTTGTGTTAGTTTTCCTTGTCTGCGTCTCTGACCCCCCTCCCCCCTCCCTCTCCCTCGCCTCCCTCCCCACCCTTCCCCTCACTGTTTTCCGCTACTGCCAACTGCCGACATTCGTCTAAATCAGTGCTCAGTTCCTTTCAGTAAATTCAGAAGTTGTTGCTGGCTTTAAAACTAAAATGGAATGATATAAATTTTGAACACATTTTTAAAAAATGGTTTCACTGCCAAGCTAAGCAGAAAGCAACAGCGGAGTGTGTGTGCTGGTGTTGTGGTCAGCATGCACATCCTGCAAGCGTTGGAGTTCAAATGTTGCAGCTGACGATGCAAACTTCGATCCTTAACGTAAACCGGAGGCAAGGTGATCTGTGTCCGACTGTGATTATTTCTTTTAAATCAAGAACGGAAGTGAAATTCGAATCAACTCCTCTCATCAGGACTTATTCGGGCAACGGATCACAACTGTGTGAACAGAACAACCTTCCAAGTTTGACTTACGTGTCACGGTTTTCAGTTGAGTGGAGCCATAGGTTAACCCGACGCCATGGCCCAGTGCCCGGACAACTCAGACGATTCCGATGAAACCTTTTACTGTCCTGACACAGACAAGGTAACTCGCCAAAATTTGTTTCGAAATCAGCATGGCAGCGATGGGGGATGGGTCGTGACTGGTGACGTCTGCCCCTTACGTGTTTCGTGTTCCAGGATCCCGGCGAGTCGCGCTTCCCCGACAGTCTCAGCGAAAACGACGAGGACGATGACTTCTACGAGCGCAACTACAATCGGTACGGCCCCGTGGCGCTGGGCGCGCTGGGCCCGCGTCCCTCGTTCCAGGACCCGGACTCGGATCAGACCTTCTTCCAGCTGGCCGAGAGCGCCCTGAGGCCGGACGGGGGCCCGTTGCCGGACCTGCCGGACACGGAGGAGACCTTCTTCTCTCCGGCCGAGTACGGCAACCGAGACGGCAACAACAGAGCGTCGCAGCAGGTCCCCCCGTCCAGGAACCCTGACAGCCCCGACGCCCCCGCCTCGGCACCGCAGGCCGACGGCGCGCAGGCCCAGCACGCCCAGCACGGCCAGCACGGCAGCCAGGGCATGTTCACGCACGACTTGCAGTGGGGCCAGGCCTGCAGCCAGTTCGTCGAGGGCCGGGGGCTGGACCGGGACCAAGGGCTGGACGGCGGTAAGGCTGGGCCCTGTGCCCCGCTTGCCCCGCTGGGCCGCTTCCCCTTTAGTTTGCGTTTGCACCTCCCCGCCCTACCTGCCATGGCCGTCCTGTTGCAGTGGCGCCGGTCTCGCCGTACGACCTGTACGTCGAGATGCCCGACCCGGTGACGCAGGAGATGCGCGTTTTCCGCGTGCCCGGCCTGCAGGCCGACCCTGACACCCTGCGCTTCCTCACCCAGGACTTCCACTGGCCACAGACTCAGGTATGTTTCCGGAGTCGTGGAGGGACTGGTTTCTGTCAACTAGTTGATGCCGACAGCGTTTCTCAACCGACAGGTCTTACCGGCCGAGGCCCTGAACGGCAATGACCTTCACGACCGCGGCCTGCTGGGCCAGCAGGAGGCCGCGCCGGACCCGTGGCGCACAGAGCCGACGGGGGAAGCCCCGGCCGGCACGGGCCACGCGGGTGCGACCCCCGCCCTGGACACGACTAGACTGGACTCGCAAGACCTGGACTGGTCCCAAACGCAAGCCGAAGGGGTGGCCATGGACATGATGGAGGCTCCGAAGCACTCGGGGAACTCCATGGAACTGGGCAGCTCCAGCCAGGACGGCGCCGTGGCGGTGGGCAGGCCGGGCATGCCGCCCGCCCTGAAGCACGCCCTGCAGGCCCTGCAGCAGGTGGGCTCCTCCGGCTCTTCGGAGGGGCGGCCGGTGCCGTCCGTGCCGTCCTTCGACGACGACCTCGCGCTGCCGCCCGCCCCGCAGTGGCCGCTCCCCCGGGAGGAGCAGCTCAAGATGGAGGAGATCGTGGCCTCGCTGAGCTGCATGAGCGTCAACCTGGTCGCCAACGGCAAGCAGGCATGCCTCCCGCGACCCACTGCGCCGCCGCCTTCCTCGCAGTCCAGGAGCCCCACGTACAACGCGGCGCGCCGGCAGCGGAGGCGTGGTCGGCCGCGGGCACTGCGAGGCGCGGGGCCCAACGACGCCAAGAGCACCGGCATCGCCACCGTGCAGCAGGCCGGGCAGGCGCTCCAGGGCTGCGTCGGGGGCGCCAAGCGGAAGCGATCCGGCCTCGGCGCGCCCACCAGGAGTGGCAGCTTTGGTACGTTGGCTGTGCCGTGTACCTTCACTAGCGTTGGAGCCTGCTGTGTTGTATTACGGTCCCACTGTGTCGCAGGCCCAGACTCTCAGCAGCGCGCCAGCCCCGCCAACCAGAAAGTCTTCAGCTGCAGCCCGTCCTCGCCGCCGCGGCGCAAGGTTCGCAAGACATTCGGGCCGCCGACGTCAGCCAGCAGCACGGCGGTGAGTCTGGGGAATGCCCCTTCTAGGGACAACGCTTCCCACACTGGTTCAACGTGAAACGTTTCGATGTGCGCAGGGCAGGGCTGAAATGATTGCAACGTATACACGGCTACGCGACCTGCGATTCCGAATGCACGACATCATTGGAGGCAAAGAAGCTCTCCCTACGGCCCAGGAAGTGGAAAGTCTGCGGCAGGAGGTGCTAGTCATCATTGGCAACATGGAGCAATCCGAGCCAAGTAACAGAAGATACACTAGACACACTAGCAAGGTAAGTTCTTTTCCATTCGAAAATATTTTTGGCATATTTCTATGGGTCTGTGAAGTCCGAATTTTTTTTTTTAACCCTCTCAAGCAGGCCCACATCAGAAAACAGGAAGCTCGACAGGTAGCTGACAAGCTTTTACATCAGTTACGAGTAATTGCTGAAGTTCAGAGGTAAACAAAAACTTTAAAATATTCAATGAATTTTTCAGCATTTCCGATTGCACTTTATACAAATGATATTTTTTTCCAGCCAGAGCAATGATGATACTGATTGCACCACATCATGTCACAACACCAATGTTGAGCTTCCTTTTCAATCCCTGTCAATTGACCCAACACTTGAGTCAAAAGTTAGTCCTCAAGAAAAGAAGACAGGCGTACATCCAATCACTAGTCAGAATTTAAAAAATGAAAACATACCGAAAAAATCTGTTAAAGAGAAAAAACAGAAATGTGAGAAACAGAAAACTGATTCAAAGAAAGCTGGAGATTATCTTAAGCAAAGTGAAGAAAACTCTGTAGGCACAAGTAATGATGTTGAAGTTAACCATGATTCAGCAAAAAATGTTTGGCGTAGCTGTATAACTCCTTTATATGATAAGAGAACTGACACTGAAGGACAGCTTGGTGTTGTCATTGTTGAAGAAACAGAAGAGAACCTTCATGAGGAGACTGTCACTGATAGATGCACAGAAATTCCTCAAACTGAGATTTTCTCTGAAGCTGTTCTCAGCAATACTGTTTCGAGTGAGGAAAACAAGATAAGCGCCAGTTTTCCATCAATGACAGACAACCGCAAGGATTCCACAAGTTCCAAACCAGTGTGTGAGCCGCAGACAGAAGAAATAGATCCCGCCAAACAAGAAGAATATCAGTACATAGTAGGTCTCATTAAATCAAAAGCTGCAACTTCATTAACAATGAAGACTTTGGAGAACGATGATACTGCACAAGAGATTGATTTCACTTGTAGCAGTGGCCCTATGATGCTGACTGGTATACTTCTACCTAAACAATCTGAACTAGAACCAATTCTTAATTTACCTGAAAACTTCTGGGGGAACCCACAGGCCCCAATTCCTGAAGAATGGATTAACATGCTGGAATGGGAAGATTAGGAATTGAGAAAATCTATGGAAAATACTGCTGTTAAATGAACTTTTGAAGCTATATTTAACTGATTGTGTTCAACAAATCAACTTTGAATAACTTCTTGGTAACATTTTCTGATCATTATATAACGATCGCCTATCAATGCATACTTGACAATCATTAAGATTAAATTATGACAAGTAGACAATTATGAATCAAAGCTTCGGATACAAGGACTTCTCAGACATTTTTGAGTTTGTAAGAAAATAATGCGGCATTTAACAGCTTAAAATAAGACCCGACTTTACTGTAAACACAATATAATAGTTCAATGTTTTCAAATCTAATTATTAATTTCTTAAAGTGTCAAATTCTGTTAAAAAAAAAAAAATCTTTCAAAGTGCTCTTGAAATGTGGCTTTACAGATATCACAGGGAGGGCTTCTTCAGGACCAACCTCACTTCAGCCCCAAGCTTGACTTTTGCAATAATGCAGAACTAATTTTCCATCAGAGCCATAGCAGTCATATAAATTTCGTACTATCTGATCAGGTGCTGGGGCGAAAGCTTGATTAACATACAAAAACTGTAAAGGGATACAAAAGATAATTAATTGGTGTTGTAAAATACTCTGCAGTAAATAATTTAAATGTAAAGCACTACTCACAAGGCTCTCTGAAGGCTCCAGCTTCAAATATTTTTTAATAAACTCTATAATTGATCCAATTTTCTTGTCTTTTTCGACAGTCCACTTTTTCTGTTTCATTATTGGAGCATTACCTGTGGCTTTCAGAAGAATGTCAACTGTAAAAGAACATCCAGAAATTACAAACATTTCAATCCAAAAGGGATCACTTTTGCAAGAGTGGCAGAATATAACGGATCCATGAGGAAAATGATTGAGAAAACGCACTTTTGTGTTTGTTGGTTTCATTTGGTCTGTCTGCTACGCTTGCTGGACTGCTCGGTTCTGGTGGAATACTCTCTGCTGGGGCCTCTGCAGTATCCACATTTTCTGGCGTTTCAACAGGAGTGCCCGGAGAGTCAGACATTATGGATTCCAATCTAGATTTGGAAGAATAACGAACTATGTTTTTAGTCGTTGATCGAATTCATAACCTATCCATTCATGTCAAGCAGTAAACACAACAGAAGACCGGATACATGCCCGATGTCACTTGTTCCCTCAAGTGCGCTAAAATCAAAACAGGAGCAGGACACCCAGTATAAAAGAAGTCCGTTCTTGCCGGTGGCGGGCTTCGGAGGCTGGTTTTTCTCAAACCAAATTCATTTTACCGTTCTTTTATGGAAATGGTAAGGCTTACATCGAGACAAAAACCTATTTGCTCTCTCAAAGATCAAGAAAATCGAGGGGGAAGTGGCAACTCTCAGCGCCTCCTAGCGGCCTTCGTTAGAAGCAACATATCGATAGCTCGAGTTTCGGAAACAGCTGTTTTTTCTTTCGAGTATCGATCCGTCAAGTTGTTGGGTGCGTTGTTGTTGTTGTTGATCCGTCACGAATGTTAGTACGGACAGATATTGGGGCTTTCTATCTTGAGTTAATCTTTCGTCGTGTGTGGCAAACAGTGTGCGCCCCTGCATTGTAATCAAACGAAGCGAGGTGACTGTTTAGACCTAGACCTGCGCGGTGACACAGTCGCCTTATGGGCCATGGCAGTTTGGCTTTATGAGTGCAAGACGAGTAGAGAGGAGAGGTTAATAATTGCCAATTAACTGATTCATTGTCTTGAGTCTCCCTCGGGCCTCGCGGGCTTCGAGAAATGCCCTAAGAGACGTCCTTCTCGCTTTGATTCAGAAACCATGGCTGAGTCAGAGTCACAAGTCATGCCCAACCTTTCCAATCAAGACATTATTGGATCTCGCTATGCTCTGGAAGTTGCTTTTCAAACTATGAAGGAGCGATGTCAAAGATTGCAACAACGCTTGGCAAAGGTTGAAGATGAAAACTCAAAGCTTCGCCTTCAGAGGCGGAAAGATGAAGTTGTTGTGGGCTCAAGAGCAGGTGACGAACCAGAAGCCATGCGAGACAAAATAGCAGAACTAGAACGTCAGAAGCAACAGTTAGCGCAACATGTTTTTATGGTGACAAGTGAAAATAAGCAACTGTGGACAAGGCTTTCACAGTCAGCAAAATTGAATCAATCGCTTGGCAGTCAGTTAACAAAAATTTCTGATTCTTTAAATCGTCATTCTGCTTCAACAAATTTGAGCCAATCGCAACTTGGTGGTAGTATGATGGCCTCATCTTCACGTGATATTCTCAGGAATAGTGCTGTCCTTTCTCAGTTCCCTAAGAATAAAGAAGTGCTCTCTTCAGCCATGACTGCCTCAGGTATGTTACTTTAATTGCTTCCAATTTGAAATTAAACTTTTTCAGTAAGTGACCACCATTACTATGTCTTTCTGTCTGCAGATTCCAGGACAGATAGTTTGGAAGAAATATCACTGAAGCTTATCAACAGTTTTTTACAGGAAAAATCTGAGTTGGAAGATCAATGTGCTCAGGTAATGCCATCAATGCCCTTTGCTTGTTACCTAATTTTTCTGGAGATTTTCCCAAGCTTCATTTTTTAACCATTCATAATAAGATTTAAAGAGCAATAATTGAATTTTGTTTAATTCAGATGACAGAGCTTCGTGAAGGAGGCCTCTCACCTACCTTCAGTGCTGACCATCTTGGTTTCTCCATGACAAGCACTAATGGCTCTGCTGGAGAGGATGCTGATTTGATGGACCCCTTGTTTGTCCCTGAAGTTCAGCAATTGCGTGACTCATTGTTGTCAATAAAGCAAGACCTTCTGATGCAACAAGAAAACATGCGAGTAGCAGTCACAAATCTTTTAAAGTTTAGAGACGGTATGTGTTACCCTCTTGCAATTTTTTGATTGATTGAATTTAGCTTAGTCATCTGACAGTGACTATTTGTTGTTCTAATTAATCTCAACCTCATAAACTTTTGACAAATTTACAGGAGGCTTAAAATGCCAGGCATGTACAGAAAGGGCCAAAACAGCAACCAGCAAAGCATCGGAAGAGGCCTCAAGAATGAGCACTGCAACAACTACACGATTTGAAAGTGCAAACATTGCTGAGCCAGAGTCTCTTGGGGACTCTGCAGATGAAGAAATCAAGGAGCAGCTCCAACGAGTTCCAGAAAACTCTACCAACAGTGACCATTCCCACCCTGCTCAAAATGCACGGGTGTGCCCCATCTGTGGAAGATTCTATCCAAGCTCTGTTTCGTTTGGAGATTTCCATCGTCATGTTGTCAATCATTTTGAAGATGAGGAAGAGAAAAATAGTTTCCTTCTTGTCTAATGAATCCTTTTTGCTACATTTGCATTATGTGTTAGATTCCAGTTTAGAATGTAGACAATGCAAATCTGCATTTACAAGGTTTCCCCTTCAATGTTAACTAAAGACAACATTGGAGCAAGGTGCTCACGAGTTTCTTAATTTATCTAGGCTAATACCATATTCATTGCCATCCAGTACTGGCACTCATTGTTAGAGGTCTTTGACACTACAGTATCTTTATGAGACTTGTCTTTTTTTAAATTGTTGTCAAAATTTACCCACATTGTATTGCTGTTGCATCCTTATATTTGATACATGTTGTTTTTAAACAGAAAATTGAGGAAGGGTTTTGTTGCTCGGAATTAGTGCAACAGGGTCAAGCTTTTGTTTACATTTAGTTAAATTTCATTTTAGGTTGTAGAATATAACTGTGATTGTACATTGACACTGTACCAGTAATTTATTTACACGTTTGACCAGATATATATTTACTTTTTATCATTGTTGTCTAATAATTGCTGTGTGTTCAATAAGGTGCATATTTTGAGAATTATTTTCTCCTTTAAGGCACCAAGTCGATTATTTTCCTTTCCATTTTATAGTTGTATACCTATTACTATCTAGAGATTATTTCTGTTTTATCAGTTATAACTCTGTTTCCCTAAAATTTAATCAAATTTTCACTGATTATCTGTGACTTGAAAAGAAAAATATATTTGAAGTTCATGTTACACTTTTCTTCTTAATTTCCAATGCATTCAAGATTTCTGGCTAGGGGGAACTAGAGACCTAGAGTGACTCTAGAGAGACTCTAGGGGGAACCAGTTGTTTAAAGAGATCGTGGTTTCTCATTTTTTAAATGATGAATGGTTAAGAATTTTTGGTGAACAATTTATTAATTACTATAGAAAATATACAAATGACAAAACATTTTTTTGCCTAATTGTAATATGAAGAGGCCTTAGTTGATTATAACCAAGGGTAACTACCACTATCATAAGGTGTGGCTGATTTTGTCAAGCCAGATCCTTAGGTTTAACTTCCTTCACATCTTCATTGGGCCCTTGCGTACTTGGTTCCATGAGGTTGCTAGTGAACCATTCTGGTCTTGGCTTCTCCATTTCAACAATTCGCTTGCCCTGGAGAAGATACATGCATTAGAAGATAATGCAATCCACATTTATGAATTTAACAAATATCATATCACAATACATACGTCACAAAATTCTGAAGCCACTTGATCATTCTCATACAAAACAATTACATCCTTTTCAACAGGTTCCAGCTTCAAAGTCTCTTGAATTTTGTCTCTAATTTCTTTTGTTTCTTGAATGACTTTGTGATAGCAATTGGCTGAAAGACATAAATAAACATGGTGAACTTTATTTAAATAGCTAACAGATAGCCCGGACACCTATTCAAACAAAATAAAAAGGGCAAACTTACGACACAGAAGACCGGGTTCATGGAAGCTGCCACACTGCATACAGGTCTGTAAGTTTTTCTTCAAGAACATCATCTTCCATACATAATCAGGGTGGCCGAAGCGCCTTTTTAATCGTTTTTCAATAGTACGTCTGTTTCTTGGAACAGCAGCAAGTATAGCATCTTCCCAAATTTGTTTAGCACTTGGTAGAAATCTTGTTGGTGGATGACAAGCTCGTGTATCCAACCCTGCCAATGCAAATTCTGGTCCAGCTGGAAAAAATAAAGAAAATAATTTAATATAAATTGCTTGATTTTAATAAAATGAGTGTATGAAAGACACAAATAATGAGATGGAAACTGTGGACCTCTATAACCTATACAATGGAATGGTTGCGCCAAACGATAAAGACAAAACGAGTACATGCCATGAAGCACACAAATTACTCGATTTAAATTTACCTGGAGGGAATAGTCGGGCTAATAAAGCACCGACAGAGTTTTCAAATTTAGACAGAGCATTAGAAATACGGTGCATGATGGCAGCAGACATGTTTGTTGCTACGAGCTCTTTTTCTTCTTCATCTTGATTCAGAATACCAATTTGACGGCCAAAATAGCGAAAATGAAAGAAGGACCACGCGTGATCGAAAGGACTAAAAGCATTGCAGACGCCAAAAAAAATTGAGAAATGTGTTTGAGTGGTAGGGGTTCGGTCTGCAGGTTCGAAATTTGTCATATGGATGACACGAAGAACACCCTGGCCGTAGTTACTTTTCTCGTTTGGATGGTGTGTTGTGGCAGCCTGCTTGTTATCCTAGCAGACGACGCACCTTCAGGAATCTCACAAGGCGGTGATTTTCTCTTCCAAATGCCGGACTCGTAGCAGCAGACGTGCAATGCTCGGTCCGGAGTGCAGCTCACCATATCAGTTTGGACTATGGCGTGCTTAGGTTCTGTGCGGTTGTGTGCTCGGGTGGAAAAATTGTGTCAGATTGGCCAAAATGCTCAAGTGCGAAGAAAAGCATCGAGTGTTAAGCTCAAACAATTTGTGGATCTACCCCTTACCAGGAGTGCTGTGAAAAGTTGTCAGGTTAGTTTCTCATAACAATCAGCTGATTTTTGAAGTGTTCGGACCCCAAATTGTCTTAAAGTCTGTCTTGAGGTGATGGGACGTTTTGTGCTTGATCTGAAATTTTATTGGCCCATGTTGAACCCTCGTGTGACCTTTGTAAGAGCGTACAACTGTCTGCCAAAAATACAGTCGACTCCACTATGCGTCTTATTTCGATACTTTGTAGCTTTTCTGACGATGATATCATTAAAACGCGTCCCCATTCTCGTAACTTATCCTATGAACTTACCCGAGAATGCGTGTTCGCGGACATTGGATTGAGAACATCCTCAATATCGATTAAAAATGTTTGTGATGGTTGTCCTCTCAATTACAGCACCCTCAATTTTCTTCACAAAATGTAAATTTTGTTGCAATGACAGCGCATGTTTCAAAAAGTAGAATTTTGAGGGAGCATGGGCTTCGCCTGTCACAGTTTGTCATTCCCCCAAAACAAAAAAAAATTGCACAATGTACGAGGTTGACTCCTCGCTTTTGTAGGTTAGGTAGCAGACGATGAAAACATTTTCCCTCCCAATTTCAAATTTGCACTTATCCTCCGTTCGTCAACATGGCTCCCGTCGAATGTCCCTCTGAGTTTCTGCTTGACCATAGGAGGTCATCTACCTTATATTTGTTTTTTGAAAGTTTCCAATCAGGAGGTAAAATAATGAGTAAAGTAAATTAATCATGCTGACTTAAAAGTGTGTATCCTGGGGAAGGACCTCCTTTCAAAGACGCGAGTCCAAAACTGTATGTTTATTTTTGGTTTGGTTGAGGTAGGACTTCCCTTTCTCCCACCAGGTGTACATTTGTTTTGAAGAAATCTTTTTTCCTTCGCCCTTTTTGCCCTTTTTTGTCCTTTTCACTGAAACGGCCCGATCGCCCTGCCGATGGCGATCCGCGCGGCGACGGAGTGACGGCCGGGCCGCCCCTTGATCAGAGCGGGAATCAAACCAAGTGCTACTCACAACCGCTCTTCGAGTGAAAGTTGTTGTATTCGAATTCTGTTAGCTCACGGATTTCTCCCTCTCTCTCGCTCTGCCGCGCGCTGGCGGCGCTGTCCCGCCTCGTTCCCGCGCGGCGCGAGCGAAGACCGTTTTGTGGAGGATACGTGTGCGTTTTGCTCGGCCCGGGCCATGTCCGGCGTGTCTGTCCATGTGCGCGGCGTCGCGCGGCGTCCCGAGGGAACGCGGAACACGCGGCCAGCCTCCGCTTGCTCCGCTCCATCGCCGTGCTGGCCCGCTGGCCCTGCAGGCCCTGCAGGCGCTATGGATGGTGTCAAAGGGCGGCGCCCTCTACGCGGACGACGCGGACCTAGTCGGGGAATTCCCCCGGGGAACTCCACACTCCCTTCCCTTTTCCCGTTTCCCTTTTCCGGCCGTGTCGCCGCGGCTTTCCCGCCGCGATCGTGCGGCCTGCCGGCCCGGCGCATAGCCCGGCGCTTCCTGGCCGCGGTCAAGTACCGCATGGCCATTGTTCGAGGGATGCTGTGCGGGGGGCCGCGCGGGGGGCTGCGCGGGGGGCGCCGATTGGCTGAGCGCGATAGCTGGCCGCCAAGCCTCCCAAGCCGCCAATCGGGCGATGGCTGAATAGGCCTGATCAAGATCCACTCTTCGCACGATCTCGCGGCGCTGGCTGCCGCGATGCCACGCCGCCGCTGCGTCCGGTGCGTGCACACTGCAGAGGGCCTCTCTGAGGCCGCGGGCTGGGCGGCTGGGCCAGTGGCGGCTTTTTGAAGCGCAGGTTCGAGTTTCTTATGTAACGGGCCCTACCTGCCGCAGCACGGCGCAGCACGCTGCAGGTGAGAGCCCCCGCCCCGCCCCGCTGCGCTTTGATTGGCCGCTGATAAGCAGCTCAGTTCTCACCAATAACCAATCACGGCCAAGCGGCGCGCTAATTGCGATGCAGCTCCCCGCCGCTTTGCCGCGTTGAGCCGCGCGCTGCGCCTTCCTATCGCAGTGATAGAAAAAGTGATCCCCCTCCCCCGCCCCTTCCCCGGTGCTCTAATTTTGTTGCGCGACTCGTTAGCGCCGTGTGTGGTACACGGTACACACACGCGGGGCTCGGGGCGGACGAAAGTGTCACCGCGGCGGCCTTGGCGCGGCGGGCGGGGGCGGGGCGGCCCGTCTCGCGGATCGCAGCTAACTTGTTACGGTGATGCTCGGTTTGAGTCGGGTCAGTGGCGCACCGCCGCCCTGCCCGCCGCCCTCGGCCTCTTTCCCCTTTCCTCTTTCTTATTTTCTCCCTCTCTTTCTTTTCCCGCCGCGCCCGGCCGCGCCGCGCCGCCTCTGGTCGCCACACCTGTCGCTGGGCCTCTGGGCCGCCCCGCCGCGTCCGGGTGCAGGCATGTGGAGGCAGGCCGGACCAAAGTCCGTCCGGATTGGAGTCCGGGGGCCCCGCCGCGCCGCGCCCCCCCCCGCCGCCCTGTCGCTCAACGGCGTCCTCCGTCCGGCTGCCGTCCGGGGTGCGCGTCGTCGCGCGGTCTGGCGGTCGCTGAGGTTGTCGTCGCAGGGCGGGGCGCGCCAACGGCTCGTCGAGGGGCGGCGGCGGGTCCGGCCCGGCGGCGCGGCCGGTGTGTGGACGACGGCACGACGGCCAGCCTTCCTAAATGGCACCTCGTCCGTCGCGGCCTCCGCCCTGCCTCCGCCCCTCGGCCAAGACGGCCAAGCCTCGGCCTCTGCCTGTTCCCCATGGTTCCCCACCTCAGGGCCGCCGGCTCGGCCCGGCCGCGCCCAGCCGAGCCCAAGTAGAAAGCAGCGCTGCTCAACGGCCAGCCCGCCGGGCCGCCGGGCCGGCAGGGGGCTGTGCGCGCACCGTGCGAGAAGTCAACGCCGGGAACCGTTCGGGAAAAGTTCGGAAACCTATCGGGAACTCTACACAAATGTCGGGGTGAATGAAAAGTCCCTGGAAAATGATCGGAAATTGCCGAAGTGGACAGATACAACTTGAAAAACATATGAGAATCTGTTGGAAGAATCAAAGGTATCGGAAGTCGTGAGCGCACAAAAATCTCGTGTCTCTCCTCCAGCGGCCGGTGCGCACCCCGAAGTGTTCACCGTTCCGTATCATTGGAGGGGCCGCCTCGGTGGCTAGACGGCTGGACCCTGTACCAGCGCCCCGCCCCGCCCCGCCCCGCCCCGCCCCGCGCCGCCCCGCCCCGCCACCGTGCCCCTGCATGGCCATCTTTTTGGCGGCCAGGTCATTAGTGCAATGTGCCGTCGATGCCGTGTACTCGTGGTTTCGCTCTCCTTGAATGACGCGATCGGCAGGCGGCCTTGGGGGGGTGGGGCGGGGCGGGGTGGGCCTGTATGTAATGAGTCACGGATATGGTGGCCGCTGGCCGGTGTGGTCCGGCCGGCCGTTCGGCGAGTGTGTGGCATTGCCGGGCCTTGCCGGGCATTGCGTTCCCGCTCCCCGGCGCGCCCTTCGTCGCGGCTTGACTTGTGGTGTGGTGGCAGTGTGTAATGTGAGGATGTGGATCGCCATGCCGTGGGCCTGGCTGTGTGATCCGGCGGCTGTAGACTGATTCCGAAAGTCGTTTTCGTCGCTCTGTCCCTCTCGCACCTATACGGTTACGCCCCATGAGTGCGAGAGGGACAGAGCGACGAAAACGACTCTCAGTCTGCTGCAGCCTTCGGCCGCTAGGCTGGAGCGTAGCGTGGCGGTACTGCGAGCATTTTGGTCGAAATGCGGCCGCAGTGCTCCGCGCCGCGCCAAAGCCGGCCTGGCATTAATTATCGCGATATCCCCGGGGGGCCACCACACCGTACACCACCGGCGGCGGTCTTGCAGCGCTTGCAGCAACGCGTCGCCTTCTTTCTAGCGGCGGTTCGAGGTTTTTGCGCCGCCGCCGCTGCAACCGGTGCAACCCGCGCGCGTCGTGAACGTCGCCGTGGCGCGCGCGTGCGATGACTGCGAGGATGACTGACTGCCAGCGGGCCGATGGCCTGGCCGACGGCGCGAACAGTATGCTGCTGTCTCTCTCGCACTCGCGGGGCGCGCGCCCCGTCGCAGCGAGTACGCGCGGAGCGGTGCGGAGCGGTGCGGAGCGGTGCGGAGCGGTGCGGAGCCACCCCAAAGTGCCCCCCCCCTCGCGGGTTGACACTCATTAATCACCCGGAGAAAGCGCGAGGCGAGGCCGGCGGGGCGCTCGCTTGGCACTCGCAACCAGAGCGGCAAATTCGTTCAGGCCTTTATCGCAGCGCGTCGCCGATTTGGCGCTTGGTTGATACGGCACACCGTAAGGTGCGGCGGCGCGGCTCGATCCAAGGCCCTGCCTTAGTTTGGGGCCTGGCGCTAAGTGGATTGAGTGAGTCGGCCGAGTCGGTGGTGTCGGCACATCCGCCAGGGCGAGGCGAGGCGGGGCTGGCAGGGCGCAGCCGGGGGGCGCGGCTTGCAACAAGCAAGCATAGGGAATTCCCTCCCCCCTCCCCGCCGGGCCAAAGCCAAACGCACACGCCTCTATTCTGTGTTTCCGGCGAGATTCTAGCTGCGGGGGGTTTCCTCTCCCCCCCTCTCTCGCACCTTTGGGCGTCCCGGGTGCGGGGAAAATGGGGCCGCCCGGTGGAACGAAGTCTGGGGCGTAGTTTTTTCGTTTTCCACGGCATCAAATACACTTCGCCACGGTCAAAATGGCGTCAAAAGCGGGGCGCTAAAATTTTAAGTTTTTTTTTCGTTAAAATGGCCGTTTTTCGTCAAAAAATTCAAATGACGTGGTCCAGGGCAGCGAGCCAGAAACCTACCGCCGAGTACGACCCCGGGCCCTAGCCCCCAAAGCGTTGGAGGACGGGCGGAGTTCGGGCCCCTCGGCCAAAGCGACTTTTGGCGGTCGGAGTGCATCGCGCGAACTGCTTCGCCTCGCGCTTCCCGCTCTCGCATTTTGTCGCAGCAACTTGAGCACTTGATCTAAGTAACGCTACTTGGGGTTTGAATCAGTTTGGTGTTACTAACACATTCAAGCACGGTAAAAACGATTC